CATTACGGGAACCGGTGTTTAAGACTACGGTATCTATTTAAAATAATCTTTAGCTTAACGAGGGATACAATTATAATTATTTATTTGGCCATCAAATTGAAAAAGAAGTAATCAATTTAATTATTTCTTAAGCCAAGTTACTATTAAACACGAATGACGTGACATATGTCAGAGTTTATTGGAATTTGAAATGAATATATAATACAATGGCGGAATCAAAAAAGTTCCGGATTGTGAGCAATGCGGGCTTAATCTCACTCAGATCATTCAGACTCCATGAACGAACAAGGGACCGATCTAAAAATAGTGTCATTCCCCAAAACATTTCATCACATGCCACTGCGGTTATATTTTTGACAATATCAATTATCAATACACGAGACAGTTATTCATATAATAGTATTATTAAAAACAATTTAGGAAAAAGCTACACAGCCAGTAGTTTTTAAATCACAGACTACATTCTGTATAGAAATAATTTACTAAAGTAAATAATTCTTCAATTGAATAAAAAATAAATAACAAAACGGCCATTTTTTATTGTGACAGCCGGTCACAGCACCTGTTTCACAGAATTAGATGTAGATAAAGTGGCCCAGGTAAAAATATTTTATTTCCACGGGTACACGTATTGTTTTAAAAATAATAGTCTGAATGCGACACTCTAAGCTTAATGGCGTTGTAAAAAATTTGCGAAATTCTTCAACATTTTGCGAATTGGCAGCCTGCCTTCGTTTTTATATTTTAGTGCAAAATTTTCTTTGAAACGAACACGCATTGTTGACTATCTATCGGCCTTGGGTAAGAAGTTTTATTGTTTTAAGGGAGGTATAAGAAATTACAATAAATCAAAACACTATTTGGAAACATTACAGGCAAAAGTTTCTTTCTTAACTTAATAATAATGCTTTGTATTTGTTAGTCTTACAAATTTGCTAATACGTTTGGTTCTTACCTTTCGCGGTTATTATAAAATTAACTGCAAATGTAGAACATTTGGTCTGCATCTGTAATTATTAATTAATATTATTGTTATATTTTCTTATTTATTTTTAATCTCAGGCATACGAGGGTGTAATTATACACTTTGTCGAGACAATAATATAGGGGAGGAAACAAAGAACGGTAGGTACTTATATGCAAATTAACCATTTATACGTAGAAAACCAACAACTTTCCAAGAAACTAATCTTCGTCTTAACGTTTATTTTAATAATGAAAGAAATAATGTCATATAATATTGTTGAAACATATGCATTTTATTTATTAAAGCCTCCAATTTCAAATTACCTTATCCGCTTTACATAATTCAAATAATTATTATAATTTGTTATTGTGATTTATACGGAATTAATTTGGGTTTTTACGTCATCATGTCAACATATAATTAAATCATGAATAAATCATGTGTATTTCTATCCTTTTTTAGAGATGTTTTTCTAATACAGTTAAATGACACTTCTCCGGCTTTCGTCTCAATGAAAATCATATCTATAAATCTCATCAATTTTACTGTCAAGTGTCAAACAAACATAAGCTAATGAGCTAACTCAAGACGGAGATAACCCCTCGGGCATCTGGCAATACTGGCACTAACTGTCGATGAAATCATGTCATACGACGTGACAATTATATTTTGTAAATTCAAACGGACAGAGTTCAACAAAAAGTACTTGACAAAACTAAATAGCGGTAATCTTGCGGTTTTTGCTTTAACCGTGCCTTGAGATCGTACTCATACAATTAGGTACTTGGAAAATTGTTGCTTTTACAGCATCTAAAAAGAATGAGCAAACGATGAAGTTACAGTTAGCTGCAGTCTGCGTGACAGTTTCATGCTTAACAACTTCAAGACTGACTCCGTGAAGTCGTGAATATCGCTGTAACATGCGAAACTAAGAAATAACAAAATCATGTCATAAATAAAATTCAATGATATATAATGTATAATTATGATAGTCCTCCTGTTCAAAGCTTTAAGACTTCTGTTCCGTTATAGTAGTTCTCAAAAATCTTGTACAATTGCCTCCAAAGATACCAAAATTCGTGTGGGTCAAGTTTGAAAGGGTTAGGCATTGTTGAAGTCATTGCCGAACTGAAGTATTCTAAGCATATCAAGGATATAGTTGAGCGTCGGTGATCTTAGTTTTCGCCCTTATGTGGTCACTCCTTATTTTTAGAATGGTCCGCACCATTACTCTCTGGGCACAAGTCACCTTCGACTTCACTCTTTCACCTCGTCATGGGCTTTTTAACGGGTATTATTCCATTTAAGCTTTGTCAGAAGTTAAATATTTTACGCAGTGACAATAAAGTTATAAATTATACTGTCGGTTCTAACAAGAAAGCGACAAAAAATCGTCACGCAACCCTTTCATTGTAATATATGGAAGCGGGTTGACAGGGAATTTTGAATGACTAAGTTCAGATACACTTTTTTAATGTAGAATAGTTTCCCCAGTTCGTAAAACCCCTGAGGTCACGGGTTCACCTTAGGAATATACTACGTGCGTACCTCGTATTTTACGTATATTTAAAATGAACACCTTCCAAGAGCTATTTAAATGGAGACTATTTAAGATACAAATTGTATTTACTTTATGTAATTTAATTTGTTTGTTTTAAACGCCTCATATAGGGATATTCCCTTTTAATTAGTCAAAGATTTTTATCAGTTCGTTTTAACTACCGGTAAACTCACCCGTTAAATATACAAACAGGCAGTTCCCACAAACGCAATAAGGACAAATCTGGCGGGCGGGCTCGTTTGTACGTATTTTCATTAGCGGTCTAACTACTTCACTGGTGGTGCTAGTGAACGCGTTTAGCGATTTATATCCGCTTCATGTAAGTTTAACTCTTAGTGACCTGGCCCGTTTTCGTTCTTCGGTTGTCATTTTTAAAACAAATTGTATAATAACAAATGAAGACCTTGGTTACAAGAGACGTACAAAATTAACATTTGCTTATACATTTAAAATTTTGTATCGTACAGATAAAAGATAAGATATTTAATTTGAACTTTAAATACAATTAGGCTTGAAATGAAACGTAAGATGCATAAGTTCCGTATTAAAAAAATAACTAAGATTCTCTAAAATTCCTTGTACCACGCCACAGTCTATAAGCTTTTAATCAGTTGGCGCGAAGCCAACCGATCGGGCATCAACCTCGACCGGCCATTTCTGTCAAACGACAACCTGTCAAAATTATTCTCACATGACCATTGAACACCTTATACGAAGGAAGCCAAAATTATGAGGATATTTTAAACCAGAACGATTATAAACACGGGTTTACTTTAATTAAAGGCATAGTAATAATATTATATTAGCTATTGTGGTTGATGGTGAGTTTCTCGTTTAAGCCAATCAAAAAGTACATCAGTTTAGGAACCGATTGATTAAATATGCATTTAGCGACACGACCAAGCTATAACCCGACACCAGCTATTACAGCTCTCACTCAACCAGAATAACGAGCTGCCGAGCCTTAGGTTACGTAAACATTGTTAGCGGTTCAATCGGCTAGGCAAAAGCGATATTCGCGACTAAACTTTTGTGTATCCAAAACTTTCGAGAGGTTAAAAACCCTCGCTAAGGGATAGCGAGCTTCCTTTTTGGGTTATTTTCGTGTTATTTTAACAATTAAAATACCACTTTGTAAAGTCAGTAGATTACAATTAAAGTGCATTAATATATTTTTGTTAATTGTATTTCCTTATTCAGTAAAACACATGTTCTATAAACAGCTGCACTATTGATTTTTAATTAAAACTTCCTTATTAACAGTGCCACGGGTGTCTACCATATTACTAATTAAGGCCTTGTAAAGTTGTAAATAGGGACCGGTTTACCGAAACCGCTACCTCAGAAATACACGGAGTATCTATGTTTGCGTAGAATAAGAATAAAATAGAACTTTATTTTTTATAGAGAACAATTCAACTGTTTGTTTCTCACTTTTACCTCACAAGTAGGTATGGTATAATTGATACGGTTTGCAACTTCCAGATACGGTTTGCCACAGATTTTACGAGTGCATTGTTTATAGTCGTCCGACCACCCGACATTGCGTCCCTACAGAATGCTGTTTTTAGAAATTTTATGGCTCCATAGCTCACATGGTCCTGAACCTATGGTTTGCAAAATTAAATTCACTCGCATAGGGTTCAGATTTCTCATGTCATTTTAGCAATATACACCATAAAATAAATTTTTTGCAGGCTTTCGTTTGATTCCAGAAGAATTTAATTACATTATTTAAGTACTGTACTGTATGAATAGCGTAAATTATTCCGCAAGATGTGTATATATTTTGTACAGATTACGGTGAACCTATTAACAACGGACTTCGTGATAGTTGTCCACATGAACAGGCCTGATTAATCCAGCATCTAGTATTGTGTCATGTCAGATACACATTTTTTATATTATTTGGTGAACTGGCAGAAATTTCTCAATATTTTTTTCATATTTCTTCTATATATTTATTACTAAAGGTTCACGTCACCAGTCCATTATATTCAAACACTAAATGTAAGTTATCTGAATGAAAAAAGGAGCCCCGGTCTGTTTCACTGATTCACTAAACAGCCTTTTCCAATGCTTTTATTCCATAGAGCCGAGCTTCAGTAAAAAGCATGAATGCAATGCGGACTACTAACGAGTAAAATTACTTTCAGTTTGTCGTTGAGAATAGGTTCTCGTACTCGAATATTCTTTAGTGGCGGATGTGTCTTTGCTCGGCCAGTTCGGTTAATATCCATTTAACGAGCCGCCATACACGTGCCAGTAACAGATATGCGCACTGGATTCCTTTCTTGAGAGGTGCCCTTCCGTTTAGCTTCATTCGACCTTAAATTTGAGTCGAGCGTAACAAATCGACCACCCTTGTACGTGTGTATTATCCGACTTAGATATTTACCTGAAAAAAGATATTTTAATAAAACAATGCTAATATTGCTTTTTACAATTTCCAGATGCGGTTAGCATAGCGCGATGCTAGGCGTGTGGGTGTGGGCGTGCGTGGTGGCGGCGGCGGCGGCTCTGCAGCCTCGCTGTGAGGAGATCACCATTCCCATGTGCCGTGGTATAGGATACAACCTCACCTCCTTCCCCAATGGGCTCGACCATGACACGCAGGACGAGGCCGGCCTGGAGGTTAGTTTCGCATTCCACTTTTGATACAACATTCGACAGGTGTTTATCTATATAGACGTATGTATTTACGTTGCATTATTTCATTGCAGGTGCACCAATACTGGCCACTCGTGGAAATTAAATGTTCGGCCGACTTAAAATTCTTCCTGTGTTCTGTGTACACACCTATATGCTTCGAGGACTACGCCATGCCGGTGCCGGCTTGCCGCAGCGTGTGCGAGCGTGCCCGGGCCGGCTGTGCGCCGCTCATGCAAAAGTACGGTTTCCAGTGGCCCGAGCGAATGGCTTGCGAGAAACTGCCCCGGCTCGGGGACCCCGACCATCTCTGCATGGAGGAAAACGATCGCGCGCAGGAACCCGAGCCGCCGCGGCCGCCGCCTCGCCGGCCGTACAAGAACCACTGCAAGGATCCAAAAAACTGCGAAAGCGGCCCGGCTGCAAGCCCGGGCGAGGTCGCAAGCGAGGAGTGCGCGTGCGCGTGCCGTCCGCCGCTGGTGAGCGTGCGCGCCCTGCACAACGCCAGCGCGCGCACGGCCGGCGTGCCCGGCTGCGCGCTGCCGTGCCGCGGCCCGTACTTCACTCGCGAAGAGAAGGACTTCGCGGCCGTGTGGGTGGCGCTGTGGGCCGGCCTCTGCGCCTTCTCCACCCTCATGACGCTCACGACCTTCGTCATTGACTCGCAGCGCTTCAAGTACCCCGAGAGACCGATCGTCTACCTCTCCGCTTGCTACTTCATGGTGGCCATCGGGTACCTTGCGCGCCTCGTCGTCGGCCACGACGAGATCGCCTGCGACGGGGCGCTGCTCAAGACCTCCTCGAACGGCCCGAGCGCCTGCACCCTCGTCTTCGTCCTCGTCTACTTCTTCGGTATGTCGTCGTCGATATGGTGGGTGGTCCTGTCGTTCGCCTGGTTCCTCGCGGCCGGCCTCAAGTGGGGCAACGAAGCGATCGCGGGCCACGCCCAATACTACCACCTCGCCGCCTGGTTGATCCCGGCCGCCAAGACCGTCGCCGTGCTGTTGGCCGGCGCCGTCGACGGCGACCCCGTGGCCGGGATTTGCTACGTCGGTAACACTTCTTCCGAGAATCTGAAACGCTACGTCCTGGCGCCGCTGATAGTGTACTTCGCCCTCGGAGCGACCTTCCTGCTGGCCGGCTTCGTGTCCCTATTCAGGATACGGTCGGTGATCAAGAGGCAGGGCGGCATCGGCGCCGGCTCCAAGGCGGACAAGCTCGAGAAGCTGATGATCCGCATCGGCGTGTTCAGCGTGCTCTACGCGGTGCCGGCGGGGGTCGTCATCGGCTGCTTCGCGTACGAGGCGGGAGGCCGCGAGGACTGGCTGCAGCGCGTCGCGTGCGGGTCGGCCTGCGGCGGCAAGCCCGTGTACTCGGCGCTCATGCTGAAGTACTTCATGGCGCTGGCTGTGGGCATCACGTCGGGCGTGTGGATCTGGTCAGGCAAGACGCTGGACTCGTGGCGCCGCGTGTGGCGCGGAGGCCGAGCGCCGGCGCCCGCGCACCGCGCTCTCGTGAAAGGCACCGTGTGACGCGAAGTGGCGGCCGGCCCGCCACCCGCGCCGCCACCCGCCCCGCTGCCGCCGCCGCCGCCCTCGCACCCGCTTCCGCCGCCTCACGCGCCGTCCGCCTCCGCGCGATCCGCCCAGCCGCTCTCCGACTACGGCCCGGTGTGAGCGCCCTTCTCGACGACCGACCGACCGACGGAGAAGCGGAAGCTAAGGGCCGCGAGAGTCATCGGCGATAGTTAAATAGACTGAAGTGATCGTTTCTCTCGTAACGAAAGGACGAATGGTCGAGCCCCGCGATGTGCCATTTTCGACGATCCTCTGCCGACGGTCGAATTGTAAATGTGATAAACGCACGGCCCGTGCGATTATATATTATATTATAGGGAGTGAATGTGAGTCGCGCCTTGTCTAGTCTTAGCATAAACGGAACGCGCGACGCGGCGTGACGAGCGTGTGTACGTAATCTTCAGGTGCGACAGTGATTTTATTGCCCGCGCGAGAGGATGTATCTATATTCGACATAAATACCGATCGGTGAAAATGATCGGCGACGCAACCGTTCATACTTACTCCACATTCCACTTAATATCTGCTCCTTGAGACGCGATTAAGGGATTCGAACTGAACCTTGACTTCAGTATGTTTTAGGACATGTTTAGAAAAACGGGAAATAACTAAAATAGTTAAACGACGGAAGCAGCTATTAAATGGAGTTAGTGAAGTGGCGACATCGTAACATGAGTTTCGGTTTGCGTGATACGTTGTAACCGATTTGCGTAGAGACTACAAACCCACGCTTGGTTCGGTTTACTAAAGAGTTTATAAGCAAAAAAACGTCTAACTATAGAAACTTCGACAAAGTCGCCGATACAATAACAGTCTTTTTCTTAGCTTCTGTGGCATAGGACGGTTCCGTAAGTCACTGTCGGCCACAAACGGGACGTGTCTAAAGTACTCCGGTAATCGAACCGTTTCGCTCACTTATATTGTGTATGTTAATAAATAAGAGCGAGACGACGTGCGTTCGAGTTGAACGTGTATCTTTTAGATGAATAAGGCTAATTTACACTATACCATTTAATTCTTGGGTAATTGTAATTTAATAATAATTCTAAAATAATTCTGTAAAGTTGTACGTAATAATATATTGTATCTATGATTGTGGTATACGTAATAATTTAAAAATTAAACAATTCTATAATGATTCATCTTGGATGTGATTAAGTAGGTAGTTCTTGAATACGAACCACCGCTAGATGGCTCTGTTTTAATTATTGTCGTCATCTATCGGTCGGTAGAGATATAATTTACACAGTAATGTACAGTCAAACAATTTCCACATTGTAATGCCACCTATTGGCGAGTAGTAGTAAACATAACACTGCCATCTATTGTACAATAGAATAAACTTCCTATTTGCTACTTTTCTATGTAAAAACGAGTGCAATAGTTTTGATGTCAATTGTGAAGGAAATAATAATTTTAGTCTAACACGAACATCGCAGCCTAAGAGAAATAAGAATGTAATTTATTTTATATCCTAACTGTAGATAAATAAAACGACTTTTATGTACAAATGTTGCCTTTTTTTATACAAAGTTCCTCTTTTAGTTACAAAATGCACCGAACTCCCTTCAATAGTCTTTAACTAGACGTAGTACGGTTATATATCTGAATTGACACATCCAGGGATTTGTTCAATGTCGAAATTTAAGAATTTGAATTATGAAACGTATCTTCTATGGGTACATTGGGAACAGTTATACTCAACAATCTAGCGATATTGCACGCTCGTTTATGAATAACATCCATTTCGGATTTCATGGAGATCTATTAGTATCTATCTCGTGAAGTATCGAAGTAAATCCACTCAGAATATAAATGGCTTAAACTAAAAAAAAATCATAAGACACATAGAAAATAACTTTATTTTAATCATAATTATTAGTTGATTCTTGTTTTTTTTTATTTTGTTTTTTTAAATTTTCTGTACCTCCCTCCCTCCCTGGTGAGATGTCGTGAGATTTTTTTCAACCCCCTCCCCCAATCTCACGTGAGATTTTTCAAAATGTGGGTTTCTTACGTAAACGCGTTGGATTGTTATAGTAAAAAGAAAAAAAAATTTGCTTCGTGCTTTTATTTACGACTAAAAAAACAAAATAAGTGAAATGTTGAGCGTTTAGGTATGGAGCGGGTAATTGCAGATATGGCCTTTAGGGTCAACCGTTTTCCTAAGTTTTTTTTTTATATATTTGCCGAGACCTTCCCTCCAACGTAAGATTAAACTAGATTTGACTCGAAAAAAATCACATCGATGAGCGTAGAATATGATTATTATTAATTTACACAACTATTGAGAATTACAATTTCTATTGATTTATCGATCAGTAAGTCGAATTAAGAACAATGCACCGTCGACGTTACATAATTTTCAAGATGAGCGTAATATTTGATTATTATAATTTTAGATGATTATTAAGAATTATAATAAGGACAGACGCATTAATTAATTAATTGTATTATGCATTGATGAGTTAGTATTACCGCGTGGCAAACGTTAATATATAAGAATTTACGAGCGTTGATATTGAATATAATTACACAAATTTATAAATTATTGTCTATAATTATTTAGATCACCAAATTTTAAGTATTTAAACACGAGTATTATTATTGTTATATCAGATTAATACGTTACGTACGTACGTTAATTGTAATTATGAATGACGAGTTATTAATATGTGTGGCAGCATACACAGATATTAATGGTGGATATATTTTTTTTTATGTTATAGGAGGCAAACGGGGAGGAGGCTCACCTGATGTTAAGTGATACCGCCACCCATGGACACTCACAATACCAGAAGGCTCGCAAGTGCGTTGCCGGCCTTTCAAGAATTGGTACGCTCTTTTCTTGAAGGACCCTAAGTCGAATTGGTTTGGAAATACTTCAGTGGGCAGCTGGTTAAACATAGTGGTGGTACGCGGCAAAAACTGCCTTAGAAAGCGCTCAGTTGTGGAACGACGGCCGTTGAGGTGATACGGATGGTATTTTGTATTTTGCCTTGACGTCCGGTGATGAAACTCAGCTGCAGGTATTAGACCGAACAACTCCTCTGAACACTTTCCATGGTAACTGCGGTAGAAGATGCAGAGAGACCCCACATCTCTACGCAACGCTAAGGGATCAAGCCGCACGGAAAGTGACAGGTCGTCGACCATTCGAACCGCTCTTCGTTGAATACGGTCAAGTGGAAGGAGCTGGTACTGGGGAGCTCCCGACCAGAGGTGAGAACAGTATTCCATGTGGGGCCGAATTTGCGCTTTATAGCGCTATTGCAAGCGGTGGCCCGAAGTGAAGTACCGTCTCGCCTTGCTGAGCACACCAAGCTTTTGGAGGCTAATTTAGCCTTTCCTTTCAGATGACCGCGAAACTGAACGTTATTCGATATGTCAACGCCCAGTAGTCCGATGCTAGCTGAGGCTTTAAGGAGAGTGTCTTCAAAGAGGGGAGTTGCGACAAAGGCAGTTTTTTTAGGGGAAAACGCGCATACTTGTGTCTTCTTGGGGTTAAATTGGACTAGATTTAGTCTAGCCCAGTCCGAGACTCCACGTAGAAGAGTTTCGACTTCAGACACAAGTTTGTTCCGGTACTCATCGACAACAGCCCGAGAAATACCTGCCCGGCCAGTGTAAAAAATATCCCCAGTGCTGTCGTCCGCATAGCAATTAGCAATGAATGTTGTCAAGCTGCAACATATCATTGATATGCAGAATAAACAGGGTCGGGGATAGGACACAGCCTTGTGGGACACCAGCATTCACGGGTTTCAGGTCGGAGCATGCTCCGTAGATGACGACCTTGATGCTCCGATCAGCGAGAAAGCTGGAAATCTAGTTGCATAATTTCTCGAGGAGCCCATAGGCTGGAAGCTTCGAGAGCAGTGCTCTGTGCCACACCCGATCGAAGGCTTTCGCTATGTCCAAACTTACCGCCAGCGCCTCCCCTTTGGACTCAATTGCCACTGCCCACCTATGTGTTAGGTATACAAGGAGGTCATCAGCTAAGCGACCACGACGAAAGCCGTACTGAGAATCACTAATCAGCTGGTGGCCCTCTAGATACCTTAAGAGCTGGCCGTTAATAATGGTTTCCATTATTTTGGAGAATAAGGAGGTTATAGCCATGGATTTATATCGTATACGATATAAATCCATGGTTATAGCTATTGGGCGATAGTTGGACGGATCAGAGCGATCGCCTTTTTTAGGGATCGGATGTATCGAAGCGATCTTCCAACACTTCAGAACAGAGCCAACTCAGGAGCACAAGTACGCAGCACAATTGGGGCCATCAGGCCCGCTCGACCTATGGATGTCCAAGGAAGACAAAGCTTTACGGATAGCACGTTGCCGGAATATAACTTCAGGCATCGTAGTATCACACCGCAAAAATGTCGGTGGTTCCTTCCCTTGATCATCCAAAGTGGAGTTCGACGCAAAGAGACAGCCTAGAAGATCGGCCTACTCTTTCGCGGTATGGGCCAGTGAGTCATCCTCCCTATGCAGTGGTGGAATTGAGGGCTGACAGAAATTCCCTTGGACAGCTTTGGCAAGAGACCAGATGGCTCGAGTTCCCGAAGGGAGATGGGCCAATTTCTCACCAAATCTGTCAATGTGCTCCCACTTTGCTTTAGCGATTTCCCGCTTGACGGACCTGGAGGCTGAATTGTAAGTATGCTTTTTTACGTTCGCCGATAGTTACATCACAGGATGTTACCGCTTCTGCCCAGGCTTTAAAGCATTCACGCTTACGGCGCAAAGCCGCTTTGCAAGAACGCCTAAACCAAGGCTGGGACTTGCCACCGACCGGCACCGCAGACAATGGAATAAAAAGTTCCATACCTAGCAGGACCACCTCGGCGACAGTCAGCAACGGCATCTGGAGTACTCGACGAAAAGCAAATGGGCCCCCAAGGGTAGGACAATCGGCATGGTGGGGGTTAAAATCGCCAAGTATCACGATTGGCTCTGGGAGTCTCTCTCACCGCACGAAACGCGAGTACAATAAGGCGAAACTATTGCATCACTTCACGCCGGTTTTCTGAGAGACAGTGGTACTGCCCCGGTCGTGCCTGCCCATTTGGCTGAAGCTCGAAGGCAACAGCATGGCACTCCCACTAGGAAGGGATTGACTGATTGCGCTGACGAAATAACACACAGGTCACAGGTTATTTCACCAGTGGGCGATGGGGTCGTCACGTCCCGACGCCTTTGAATATAAATGATTGGATAAATGTTCTGAGCGTTGATAATTATTGAATTTAATAAGATCAAATGAATGAAAAGGAGGGGTCTATGTAAAAGCCTCAAAACTGTTAATTTTTTTTTAAATATTTTTGAAGGTGATAAAATAATTTTATTGTTTTTAAACTTTAACACAACTTTATTGAACCTTTCTAGAGTACAAAAGTATTTTTTTTTTCTGTCAAAATGGCGACTCAGGATAATATAACTTTTTGTTTGGTACCTCCGATGCGTGGTCCCAAACAGCTCTATTTATTACTCATTGACCATTGATTTGAAACAAAAAAATTAAAGTATTTTCTATTTAGAACATATTAACGGAAAGGATACACCTTTAATATTTAAAAAAAAAAATAATAATCCTCTGAGAAAGAAATCAGAATTTGAGGCTTTTTTGACATTTTTGAAATTTTTGGTTTATCATTCCGCTCCACTGCAACAGCTATAACTTCGTTAATATTCAAGATTTTATTTTTTCTACTCGTCAGTACATGCTCAACATATTATATTTAAAAAAAATGATTTTTTGAAAATTTTACATGGACTTTCCCCCTTGATACATAAAGAATAATGTGAAATGAAACATTTTTATTACCTTAATTAAAAAACTATTATTACTTAACACGTTGAACGCCATGGGGGTCACCGGTGACCTCATCATTCCTCTATCATAGCGCCATGGGGGTCACCGGTGGCCTCAAGCTAAAGACATATTCAAACCGTATTTTCTCGCCGTCTGCCATACCCACTGTTGATTTTAAAGTACTATGTGACCGGCACGGTGCCGTAGAACAATACTTCGCATTGGGACAAATGTGCCTAGATAGTACATTGAAAAAATCTAAAGATTTTAAAAAAGAAGCAAAAATAAAACTTCGTTCCAAAAATGTTGGATATTTAACTCAATTCAGTCTTTATTTTTTAAACAAAAATTAGCAGAAAAAATGGTGTGTTGTGTTGTGTAGGCAATATTACTGAAAAATAAAATTTATCTTTAGAAAAACTAGGAAATTGCAAAGTGTAAAAAAGTACGGAAAATCCACAAGTGCACGCCTTACAACAACCAAACCCTTAGAAATATTAATATTTAGCCTTAATTTTGTCAAATAATACAGTAAAAGTTGATAAGAAAAGATGTCAGAAAGAAAAACAATAACAAAACATGCATACAGGGTTCACAATTATGTCAACCTAAGCCCAAACCGTTTTACGGTCATTTTACGATGATTACGATTTTTTTTAAACCGCCCATTTTACGGTTCTCTGCAATGCCGAAGAATAGGCACCTATTTGGTCACTCATATCTACAGACCCTTCGGATTTATTATGATCCAATATGATCTTCGGCTTCCGAATCTGTTTGCCTTTTTACTCTACCACAGCAAATTTGTCGAAAGCAAAAGCACGTCCCTCTTATCCTTCCATTTTAACACCGTTACTCCGTCTTCATTCTCCACAGCCATTATTTTACCTTTCTACAGTTCTGAATTCTAGAACAGCCTAACCCTCTTGTTTTTTCGCAAAGTGCCAATTAAATGGGTTTGTTTCTCCAATAACCTAGTTCTAAGCTTGTATACCAGTTGTCAGTTGCAAGTAAGTATAACCTAACGTCTTTTTATTTTCGGTATTAGCATCTGTTCGCTATCTGATTCTGAGTGGCAATCATTGTTTCTCAAAGGGTTTGTTGTAGAATAATACGCTAACGCGTTGATTTGTTGCAATTCATTCTGTGTAAATTTTAATTCCTCCATAGCTAAGCCAATACCTAAGGATCTCGTACATTATTAACGCAACCTAATTAAGTTCGTTATGTAGCGAAAATAAATTTATAATTAGCAGCCCCCCCCCCCCCCCCCCCCCCCCCCCCCCCCAAATAAAAACAAGGGGGGGGGGGCGGGGGGGGGGGCCGCCCGCCGGGGGAAAAAAAAAATTTTTTTTTTTTTTTTTGCGCCCCGGGGCGCACCGGTGACCTCAGTTATATATTTGGCTGTAACTATGTAACCCATGGGCAGAATTTAATAAAACTAATTTTCTATACATATATTAGGTATCATAATAAATAAATTACAGCAAATAAGTTTTTTTACGATTTTTATTTTTTTCTATTGGCGTTTAACGTGTTAATTAAAATTAATAAAAAATTTGGAACGCATTCATAATCATAAATCAATAAATTAATTGCAGCATTTTTTCAATGGTTTGAATTCAATATTGACTCCATTGGCAGATGCAGTGAAAGTTGACCGTCTGTCCACGTCATACATTTCTTCCGGGTTCCGATACATTTCATACTCAGCCAAAATCCTGGAAAGCACGACTTTTACATGCATCTGTCCGATTTTTTTACCTGCAACACAATAAGTCGTTATAAAATCCCCAATTCAAGCCTATTAGATTATTAACTACTTACCGATGCACATTCTGGGTCCTCCGCCGAACGGAAAATAGGCGTCATTTAAATTGGCAGGGTCACTAAATCGTTCGGGGATAAAACTTCTCGGGTTTTCAAAGTGCTTTGGATCAGTATGCAAACCGTATACTGATACAAAAATAGGAGTCCCTTTTTTTAGAACAAGATTCGTGTCGGGTACCTGAAAAATAAAAATTCATATGAAAATTAATATAGACTGGTGCGACATTTGACTGAAATTCCGATAAATATAAGCTATAATTATGTGACTGAAATTTATACTATAGTAAAATTAATCTTATAATATAAAAGAATAACTAATTAACAACATCCCTTTGTCAAAAACCTCCATTACTTTTTAATTTTTCGTAATTATCATTTGACTGAGTGTGACTGATGGGACATCAAAAAATCCTTCTCTTTTACCTAAGGTTAAAGTCCAAATTCAGTTCGACCAAAAAAATACTTCTCTCTCAAAACAAAATTTACCCTACAAACATTCAATATTATGACGAATCAGACTGATTACCTACGTAGAAACAATTTAAAAAAAAATTGTTTTTATTGTGACTGGTGGGACAGGCATTTGTGACTGGTGGGACACGTACAAAATGTCTACATCAAGTTGTTTATTAAAAATACTTTTATCTTATTTCAACCTTAGAAACATTATTGTTTATATATTTAACTATAAATTATTTAGGATTATGAAAAAATACTAATCTAAAAAACACAAAATATAAAGGATTTAGCATGCTGACAACACGATCTTGATAAACTTAGGTCTTAATTAATAACGAACATAAACAAAATTTGTTCTTTAAACTATAATAATAAATATGTTAGTTAATAACAAACATAAAATGAATATGTTGTTAAAACTATTAAAACAACATTTGACCCGGATAAGTTAGTACGGCTGAAATATTTTTTTACAAATTAGTAAAATATACTTTTAATAATAAATTAGGACTAAATTAGAATGAATAAAAGATTTTTTTTTAATCATCAGTCATTTTCCCATTTTGCGTGGAATGCCCCTATAATAGAAAACAGATCCATAAATTTTGAATAAAAAAAAATTACTTTGTAATCCTGGCGAGTGCACCGATCAAGGTGAACAACAGGAGGGTACAATCGGACACCTTCAGCGATACAGAGATCCAAGAACTTCATATTATCAAAAGCTTCGATAGACCATCCATGCTCAGCAACGGCTTTTTTAACATCTTTTCTCGCGCGGTCTTGGTACTCTTTATTCTGTGCCAACTCCATCAAGACCACAGTTGCTGTTGTAACACTTGATTCGAGTCCGGAGAAGAATAATCCTGATTGGAAGAAAAGATTTTCACCTTCAAATTCTGTAACACAATTGATTTATTATTATTCCATGGCTATGTGTAAAAAAAAATTATTTTGATTTTTTATTGCATCAAAATTGGTTGATTTATTGAAGTGCTATCGTTATCGAAAAAAATTTGATAAGAAAGTTTTTAGTTATATAACTTTGAAACTCCGTAATTTTTAATTATTGTAGCTGGAAATTTTCAAAAGAATAATTTTTCAAGACAGAAACGAAATTTTCGAGGACAAAGTTGCATTTTGAGCTTGAAGTGCTAAAATTTTTGCAATGGATAAGTTTTTGAGATGATCGATAAAGCCGTTTAAAAGTTATTACAACAAAACTGCAGTAAAAAAATATCTTTTTCTTAGTTTTTTTGAGATTTCTTAAAATCTATCAGTCCGAATTGGTTCAAATTCACAGGGAATCTAAGTTTGGCCAACCCCTCAAATGGCATTGATCGTGATGAAATCGGTCAAACCTTTCAAAAGTTATAAGCGGTTATCTGTGATCTTGAAACGTGGAGATCTGAAGAAAATTCGATTTTTGCAAAACGGGGTAAAACCAATAACTTTCCGATTTTTTTTAATCTTCAATTTTCTTAGCGGAAAGTTGAAAAATTTAAATTGTAACAGTAGTGACAATTTTGGAAAAAAAGGTCAGAATTTTACAAAATCAAACAGATTAAAAAAAACTTACTCCAAAGAGGATTTTGCTTATCATTTTTCAACTCAATGATCGAATCAACGTAATCTCCTCTTTTTCCACCGCTTTCTTCTCGAGATTTGATAGACTTTTGAAAAATATTTTGCAAGAATGTCGAGTCGAATAATATTTTTCTGCCAAATATCTCCACAAGTTTGGGCATGAAGAACACCGTGAC